CAGAATTTCAATTTACAACCCAAAAGGTTCTTGGGAAGTGGGGTAGGACAGTTGTGCCGAACCACTATAAAAATTCGCAGTGTCAAATTTCTCTAACACTATCTCTTATTTATTTTTGCAATTAATTTTAGAATTTTCTTGTTTGCCTTAGAATTTATTTTATCTTACTTTGTTATAATTGCATATCTCAAAAAATTTATATCTTTATTTAAATTGGACCCATTTATTAAAAAGTCTACATTTTGTTAATTAAACCATATTCACCCCCCTAAGGTTGCCATACCGATCCAACACACATCAACCGTTTCTACAATGACCTTGGATTTCATTTTCCTTGTTTGTATATACATTTCTTTTCACCTGAGAACGAACAAAGGAATATGTGTTCATTAGTAGCTATCATGGTAAATCAAAGGCATATCAAGTATATATCACACATATATCAGTAGTAAATCAATGGTAAATCATATTAAAAGTTATATTAGTAGATATCATAGTTATATCATAATTAAATCAATTGTATATTTGTGGCAAACGTATATTAAGTATATATTACACATATATCAGTTATATATCAATGGTATAGTATTAAATGGGTATCAATCAATAGTAAAGCACTAATCTACCTGTTTGATCACTATATCGTGAACTTTTTTTTGACATTTTTTTGTGTTTCCCTATAATAAAAATTATTGATAAGTTTTAATGAGTGAATAACGAGTAAGTAATTAATAAAACTACTTATTCGATCATTTTACTTACAATGCATCTTCATTGGCATTTTTCTCTATTTCTTCTTTTGTTCCTTCTTCTTCTATTGCTTCTTCTTCGATGTTATCATCCTTCCAATAGCAAGTATATCAATGTTAAGAAAAGTAAAACAATTTAGATTTATCCTTTTTTCTTTCTCCTTCTCATTTTTACCATCTTTCTCATTTTGATTTTTGAAAAGTGATTGTATACATTCAACAATCCTGTCAACATCTATATTTTCAACAAGAAGCTATAAACTTGCCGTTGAAGGTTGATTCTTTTGAAGTGATTTTTGAGATTGTTTTTCAACTACGTTTGACTTCAGTGGACGTCTTTCATTGATTATTTCTATTAGAGAAACCAACATCTCTAAAATATGTTTCTACACCTTTTTCACTTCTTGATCATTTTCCTTATTTAAAGAAGTCAAGTCTTTGCTTCAATATCTATTTCCCTTCTCCTTCGATCTCATTCTGATTGTGGAGAGTTCATCTTCTAGCAACATGTCTTCTCTTTCTTCTTCAATCACCAAATTCGAGAAAATGCAAGAAGATAATTCATCGACAATAGGCATCATAGTGATTACTTAAAATTGCATATATCAAAGTTAGTAAAATTAGTAAAAGTAAGAACAAAAATAGATAAAATCAGTGAATCAAAGATAAGAAACTTACATCGATTGAAGAGAACATTTTCTTGATAGTAGTGTCAATCAGGCCGTGTAATGATATCCACTTCAACATCCATGGGATTTGATCTTCACCTCTTTTAATGCAATTCCAAATGTTAGGTCAAAAAGTTTTGGAATTACCTCGCATGCTCAACAGATTAGTGCAAGGGGGAAGCTATGCAAAGTAAAATTTGATGATTTCTCTCACATAGTTTTCTTAATATATTATATGGTGAGATCGTATGTGGATCTACCCCATGGATACTTTCCAAACAAGTCTTGACTATCAATCACATCAACATATTTTCATTCTATCTTAGTGTGATTTTGTTTGGAAAATAATAAACATTCAAAGATATACAAGGATGAAATCTTCATTGTTATAACATCATTTTCAAACCCGACATAGAAAGCAGCTTGTATATCCATTTTGTCTATGGAGTCCCTAAGCTTAAAGAAGGTGTTCCTAAGCTCGTGGGCATTTTTTATTTGTTGATATTGATCTCATCAATGGTAGGGTATTCACTATAGTAATTTAAATTTGTAATCAAAGAAAACTCCTTCAACCTAAAATTTAAAAACTTCCTCTCAAAGTTAAATACTAGTGCATTTCTAAGGATTTTATCAGAAATCCTTTGAATAAAATGCACTAATAATTGTAAAGGGCATCTCCTAACTTTCGATGACAAAAATTGTCCAAATTGTCTTTTTTGGAACATTTCTTGTTGGGTTGGTAGGAGCTTTTCAAAAAAAAGGATTTCTGTACTTGAAATGACCCCAATTTTCTATATGTATTTAATAGTCTTAAAATGAGATAATTATTCATAAAACATCATTTCATTCAAATAAAAGAAGATAAAAAAAAGCTTGTTATTTCATTTAAAAATGGAAACGATACACTACAAATTCAGCTTCTCAAGTTCCTACGGCATCAATTTCATTACAATGCTTGAAACATGATTATGATTTTTTTTTAATGAAGAAACATTAGTATGATTGAATGTTATTGTTTTTAAAAAATAGTTTATCTATATATATATATATATTTCTATATTAAGCATTCCATTTTATCCATGTTTTTTTGTTAATTCATTTTATGTTAATGTTGTATATAATTTATAACATACATATATGCTATGGATATTTTTGAAGTCAACTATTATTATGATATAATTAACATACTGTATATACGTTTTTAAACTAGGATATAACTTGCCTATCATGTATTATTATACAATATAAACAATGATTATGTAATCATAGGAATATGTTCAATATTTTTATTTTAGTTTATATATATTTAGTTTATATATATATATATTTTATGTTTCTTAGTATACCTATCAATCATTTTCAATAATTTCATTTTATATTAATGATGTATACAAATGCTTATTATAGGATATAACACATATGTCTTGTCTACTTTTGAAATCAAATATTATTATATATTACAATGAATATAATATATATACCTATTTATCCTAGGTTATATATACCTATTATTAGAACTTATATACAAGAATTTGTTATAAATGTCAATGATTTGTATTTTAAAAACTATTATGTTAATAAATGTACTTTTAGAAATGTTGTGTAGGCAGCACTTCTGTTCCCGTGCGCAAGCTTCATAGTGGAAGGGGATTATAACCGCAACCATTATAACATATATTATTTGCAGATATAAATTATATCTAGCTATAAACTATAAGTGTTGAGTGCATGATGAAGAATCGATTAACCAAAATCAAGCTCAGATAAACTTATATATGAACAATAAAGTATATACAGCTATATCTCACTCAAATAAACCACATTGAAAGAATTTTGATAACTTTTATATATGAACAATAAAGTTTGAAGAATCAATTCATCAAAATCAAGCTCAGATAAGATTATTGGATAACTTTTATATATAAACAACAAGACTATCCCACTCAAAAAAACTTTATTGCCATATATAATCAATCTTATCACGAAAGAATAGTAAACATAGCACACTGTAGAAAGATTCAAAATATGAGAAGTCTCCCTTGGATTCAAGAAGAAGGAAATGATAATACCCTATATTAAAAACCACATTGAAAGAAATTTTAAAACTTATATGAACAAAAAATGTCCCAAAAAATACTACCCATATTAGTACCGAGCATATAAAATCGATGACCAAAATACGCAAACCCACAACAATAATAGAAAACCAAATTTCAATAATCGAGTGTAGTATAAAGTATACACCGGAAAATATTGAAAAGTAAAAGTCTTCATAGTGCAAACTCACAAAATCCAAAATCAACTACAGAACCTATATATGGCAAAAAATAGAGAACTATTTAAATACGAGAATCTATATAAACTACAAAGCATTTTGAAGTTGGAAATCAATCACACAAACTCGAATACTTTGCAAAATACCACATACACGAACACCCAAAATCGAAACCTTTCTAAATACACCAAACTCGAACCCCCGAAATCTGAAATAAGAAACAAACTTGAAGTTTTGTTGAAAACCGAGTGGGGAGATGAGCGAATCTAAAGTGGGATGAAGGAGACAGGCTGCTGGTGTTGGTAAATCCACAAACAGAGAAGAAATGGTGAGAAGTAAGAGGTTTCTTTTTGAATAAAGAAGACAGAGACAATGTTGCCAAGTGACTAAATTTGGATAGTTTTTTTTTTTGTTTGTGAAAGTTAAAACTTGCATAAAATCAGGAATTTAGAAGTTTAACGAAATCAACCATTTTGAATTTTCACAATTTAATAATATTTACATATATAAAAAAATGATATATTGATAAATTGTCGATGGGTTCCATTTAAAAGAGTTTATTTTCAGACAAAAGTATACATAAATGGTCTATCAATGAATTCTAAAAAAAAAAAAAAAGGAAAAAAGAATCTATCAATATACTAATACCTTTTTTGATTAAAAAAAAAGTTCTATATTTAAAAAAGTAAAATGTGATTGTTATTTTACTAAATGTTTTTGCTATATTTGCGACTGTCCCCTCACCAAAACTTTAACAACTCAATGACCTAACCCAATCCAACTCAAAAATGGGTTGGGTGGAGTTGGATTGCCTAGCAGTTCCATCGTAATATTCAGGTTGGTTCAAAAAGCTTCCTCCTACACCCCACTTTAAGTTCTTCAACTAAAATTCATAAAGATTTTTTATTTTATTTTAATAACCGTAAGCTAAAGCTTTACTTCCATATACCCAAGGACACCCACACCTACCCCAAGGCCCGGACCCAAGAGACCATGAAAAATTTTTGGTATTAAACTGACAAGAAGATTTGAACTTGCGACCTCTAAGCTAATATGACCAAGAAACACCAGGTCTTTGCCAATCGGACTAACCCTAACGCAACCTTGAAAGCTAAAATCCATGATTGAATATATATATATATATATATATATATATAGCCGCCAAGTCAATCCTTTCAACAGTTCATAGAAATTGGCACAGCACACATAAAAAAAGATGTTACACATAGGAAAATCAATAGAGATGGATTACTAATTAAGACTGTAAAACAATCTTTAGGAACAAAAGCTTGTTTTCTACATGATACAGATAGCAAACTGACCATTTCATCTCATTCATACAAGAAAAATGTTACAGTAAGAATACTCTATCTTCCTCCTATTCTAAATCAACAGTCCCATCTGAGAATTAAGGACCCAATCCTAAAACAAGCAACTCTATCATAATCCAATGTGCGATTTTTATCTTCAGTACTCGACACTATGAGTAACAAATTATTATTAAAAACTAAAAGAGAAAACAAAATGAAAGGGCAGGAAAAAAAAAAAAAGAAAGAAAAGAAAAGAACAAGGAATGGCGTTGTCCCACATAAGATAAGCAAGTCATCCTCCTCCAACTTTGGCAACTTTTCTTTGCTGAATTTGGCCTGTTAGTGGACACTGCATTTCTGTCCAACTTATGGGAACCATTACTGCACCTAAAATAACATTCAAATATGTTTTCGAGAAGTGAAAAATTTACCAATGAAACTGTGCAAAACAAACATATTTTGTAAACAGAAAAATAAAAACAAAAGGATTATCGAACAGGCAATTAGTTGTTAACAAAATTGGCACTTTGAGTCAGAGGGGCAGCTTTATAGACATCAACATTCATCATTCATAATCAGGTAACAGAACTTCCAAAGTAAACTTTTATTTATTTATTTATTTATTTTTTATATGAAACTAAACTTTCATTGAGATAAAATGAAAGATATACAAAGAGCATACAAAAAATAAGTGTGACAAAAGAAGACCGGCCTATAATAAGGGGTTCAATCCAAAAGAATAACACCTAATTGATAATTACAATAATCATTCGGAAGTAAACTAATTAAAATACCAGAAAGAATTCACATTTTGTTCCTACACTTGATTTTATCAAATTAAACCTTTAAGTAAATGTGACACTTTTTTTTTTTAAACATCTATGGCCACATTCATATGTTCTAATAGTTGGACAAGATTAGTCTAGTAACTTCTATATTGGATATTTTTTAAGTTTAGTTTGGGTGTTTAATGTGGGTATTTGACATCCTTGTAGTGCTTGATTTTGTAGCTAGATTTAGGTGCATTATGTGGCTGGTTTTAGCTATTTTTGCAACTTATTTTGTCTGTTTTGCGGGCTGAACTTTAGGTGACTTGTCCAATGTACTTTAAGCATTTTTTTCACTTGGTTTTGAGATAGATATTAATTTTCCTACCAAATGCAAGATCCAATTTAATGAAGCTAGAACTTTAAGATTGAAATTAATTTACTTTCCCAAGTACAAAGATAAAAGATGAATTTTTTTCAATTTTTCAATCCGATACTGGGTTCAAGAGTTAATCTCAACAATTAAACAGTAAACCCTGAACTTGAATAAATAGTGAAATTAACACCCTCAATTAATTAAGTTTCAAATTTCTTTTGAATATTTGTGGCTTACTGTGAGCATTTTGGTGGTTGGACAGGTACTGGTTCTTGGTCATGTTAAACACCTTTTGGCTGGATTTCAATATTTTATGGTTGAGTTTAGGACTTTTTTTTATCATCTCATGGCTAGGATTGAATATTTTCATGGCACAATTTAGGCTTTTTTTACTTGATTTTAAGGGTTATGCTGGTTGAATCTCGTGTGTTTTAAATAAATTTCAAATTTAGTTTTAATGTGGTATTAAATTTCAACCATCTAGACATTACATTACACTAGTACAACTATTTCTCCCTTCACTGTTATTAACTTAAGATCCAGTTTAACCTCTGTGATTACAGAAAACAGAGGGAGAATATAGTAAGACAAAATGTCAAGATCTTTCATGACCAAACCAAACTCCGCTTAACAATCAATTAGCTACCCTACACAATTGAAGGATAAAATTACAAAGAAAAAAATGAAGAGAAAAAAACCCTCAGTATATTTCATACAACAATATTGACGTCTTTAAATGTTATAAAAGGAAACAACTGCTCTTTAGGCTTTCACAATATTACCAATACTCTTTACCTGCTGTACTTTCTGCAGAGACGACACCAAGTTCGTTTTTTGCAGTTGATAGATGATAAGCCCTTGCATCTCCAAGAGAAAGCTTTTAGAGAGAACTTTTGTCAAGAAAGTTTGTGGTAATAAAAACAATCAATTTAAAATCTCCAAGAACTTTTTGACGTGAGAAATGAAAATAAGACCCAACAGCAGAAAGATGGAAAATAATTGTCTATGATCCAGCAAACAGACTTTGTTATTTGCTAGTTCTTATTTCCTATAAGATTTTCTATTTTTAGCCAACTACGACACACGTAGGAATAATTATTGTAAGATGAAAAGTAAATGTTTTAGTTCCTAACGTTAGATTGCTTTTTCAATTGGGTCCCTATTATTTAAAAAGTTTCAACTTAATCCTTTATATTTTAATATTTTTCACAATTATACCCTTTTCGTCGGTGAATATTAAAATTGATCCATTATAAGCTTATCAGCATGTCATGGTACTAAAAGGATTGCCATTAGGATAGGTTGTACACTCAAACATTAAGGACTAAACATATACTCGAGCGTTGTTATAATTTGACAAACAGCTGATAGATTATGACCAGTGAAGAAGAATTGCGCACTAAAAATCTACTAGGCCTTTTGCATCCTTTATGGACATGCAAGAGGAAATGAGGCAGAAAGGATACAACAAGAGCTTTGACGATGTCACCCGGACGAAACGACAAATGCATATCTACTTTATCTATCTCAGTTGCTCGGACGTCTTGTTGCCTACAGAAAGCATGAATGATCTTCCAATGTAAAATATCTCCCAAAACATAGTAGATTAAAAGGCATTTCAAATATACGAGAGATTATATAACATTCATTTATACCAATGACAGACAGAAACAAGGGCACAAAAGTGGGTTGGATATGCATGGTCTACCTCCTTTTGATAAGTTAGGACTTCGATTCAATCTAACTAGTTACAGCCTTGTCACACGATGAAAAAACAAAACCAAAAACATTCGAAGAAACTATCTGTTCGCCACTTCCATCATTATAAGCAAATTTTACGACTCTGAAAACCATTTAATATGAATGATTTCCTTAACATGTATCTTCCATCTTTTCCTAAAAGTTGTTACTGTTAGTCATAGTTATAGCAGAAGAAGAATCATAACCAAATTAGGGCTGTGAAAGGATGTTGCATAGGAATGAAATTCCATATTTAAGCAAACTAACCACCACCACCGAGATCGAGTCATACATTTCTAATTTAGGCAAGCCTTCAATAAAATCTTAAACATGTATCTTTGATTAGTTGTGATAGGAATCGCCCATAGGGTAATAAAGGGATATTATTAGAGTATCGAGGGTAGCTTAGTAATTAGATAGGGAAGTTGTTAGGGAGTGCTGTTATAAATAGAATGGAGATGTAAGGATGAAGGTATCCAATGAGTGAGTATGGTTTTGGCTTGAGTGATATCTCAAGAGGGGAGGGTCTAAGTACCTCTAATACTTGGTAGCTATTGTAGTTCGTTTATCTTTTATCTTTCAATATATTTCGGGTTCTATCAAGTTGTTGCTTGAATAGAAAAAGAAAGCTGACTCATAATTGGCTACAAACCTCCTATAATAGCCTGAACCCACGTGGCTCCTTAGTTCTTACTATTTCTAGGAATGATCTACTGCCACTCCTTCCTCAGACATAATGTACCCAAATGATTCAATTTGCTTAAGAGCGAACTTCCGCCTAGGCAAAGCAGTGCTCTAACCAATTGAGAATACAATCCTAGGAAATAGTGTTGAAATTTATTGGCATTCACAACTACCTCTTGTTATCAAAAAGGCCCTCATAATAGTAGCTAATGCTCAACATGTTCTTCACTTGAGGAACAGTAGATTAAGATATCGCCAGAGCGAACTTAATAGGGAATGGACACATAACATCATGCATTAACAACTGGAACATTGCAATTTTAATGGCTTCCCTAATTAACTCGTGATCACTCTCCAAAGGCCCTCAACATAGTAACTAAAAGGTATCGTCAAAGAAAATAAGAGAAAAACTTGAGAACAAATGGATCCAGAGCATTATTCAATAACAACTGGAACCTTGCAATCCAAATGGCATTGCAAGGAACTTATAGCATCCCTCATTATGTTCAGGAAATGATATTATGAGTATCATCCTGTACATAAATTTGATGGTACCTAGACTCTAGATCAATTTGCAATATTTGTCACACCAAATAATTTATCCAAAAGCTCATCCACCACTAGAATTGAATGTCTATCGGGCATCATTATCCTATTCAATGCCCTACAATCCATGCAAAAACATTAACTCCTATCCTTTTTCTAACCAACAGCTTTAGACTAGAGAAAGCATTAATGCATGACTCAATCATAGATTCACACTTACTAACTGATAGGCCTAGCCCCAATTTTATTTATCAACAAAAGGGAGATTAGAGAGCTCCCCTTCTCTCCCAATTCTCTACGGAGAACCACACAAGTAAAATGTTTCCCATAAGATAATTCCCTCGTTCCCACTAACGTTCCCTATATTCTCCTAACCACTTGGGCACATGTAACTAACAAAATTCCCATGGGCCCACTACCACTACACGCAAAATTCTATCTCACACGGACTCTTTCCTTCTTGTACGCTTATGCTCGTATACTCTAGTAATTTAGGGTCTACCACTACCTGTCCCCAAAAAGCCACCTTGTCCTTAAGGTGGAAATCTGAAAATTGAGAAGCAATTACAAGAGGCCGTCTCCCACATGGCATCCTTCATAGACGCATTCTCCCAACTGATTAACTCTCTTTGAGCTTCTTATCTAGCAACATGGTGTTTGTTACCCCCTTTACTTATCACATCTTGAGTAGTAGTAGATTTGGAAACGTGGTGTTTGTTACCCGTTTACTATCTCACCTTGAGTAGTAGTAGATCAGGTCAGATTCATGGTGATGGTAATGGACCTACAACATAACTCACAGGTCTGGTGTTTGGAATGAGGGGCACTACAAGCTTTGCTATTAGGATCTGATTCTTATCCTCAACTTGCTTTGCCATTTCCACCTTTAGAAGCCCATTGGGTTCAAATACACTTAACTTTCACTTGTTTCCTCATTTGAGCCTTCATTTGGAGTCTTTGGAGGGAAAGAAACAACAAAATATTCAATGACAAATTCCAGTTGTTCAATGTCATCTGCAATAGGGTTTTGGTTTTGACTTTGTTAGAGTATATATATTAATATATTTTATACTCTTGTAATATATGTATTAATTAGTCCTTTACCTTCCCTTTCTAGGATTAGGTCAACCTTGTATATTTGCCTATATATATAGACTTGAGAATAATCTTATCTGGTTCTCTCAAACCTTAGTTTCTACATGGTATGAGAACTCTAGGTTTTCTCTAAATTTTTTAACATTAGGATTTTGTGCCCATTAGGGTTTTGTAGGGTTTGAAGTTTGGAACACTTTCTTGCAAGTGTTCATTAGTATCCTCACCCGCCGCCGCCGCCGTCACCTGCCTCCACTGCCGCTAGTCGTTGCAGTTAAGCACCGTGGTGTCTTTGTCAGCCACCGTGTGTGTTGTGTAGGGTGAAACACTTGCTTGGGTCGGTTCGGCCTGGTTCATACGGTTCGGTTCAATTGGCTCGGTTCAATCGATTCGGTTCATTTGGCTTGGTTCAACTGATTCTGTTCATTTGGCTCGGTTCAATCGGTTCGGTTCATTTGGCTCGATTTAACCGGTTCGGTTCAATCGGCTCGGTTCAGCCGGTTCAATTACTCTGTTTTGGCCTTGTTTTGTTGTTTAGTTCGAATCAGTTGTCATTTGATATGGCTAAGAAGAAATCAATCTCTACATACTCAATTTCTGCGAAAGAGTTTGCTAAATTCCAACAATATCAAGAGTCATTGATGGCATCATCCTCTAATCAAATTACTGTCATCGCTGAGTCAGGTAATACCAATAAATGTCTTATCTTATTTCCTCCGCGTCAAAATGGGTCATTAACTCTGGTGCTACAAATCATATGTCAGGTAACCCCAATTTATTTGCTACCTTTTCACCATCCACATCTTTAACCTAATGTTACCATAGCAAATGGCACCACTTCTCCTGTTCTTCGCTTTGGCACCGTTCATCTTTCCAAAACTCTTTCATTGATCTCTGTTTTAAATTTGCCACAATTTTCCTTTAATTCGATCTCTATCAGTAAACTTACTCGTGATCTCAATTGTTGTGTCTTATTCTTTCCTGGTTATTGCTTTTTTGAGGATCTAACAACGAAAAAGACTATTGGTAAAGGGTGTGAATCCAATGGCCTCTACACATTTGATACACAAATACCTACAACCACCGTTTGCACTCGAGTGCCAACTCCTTTCGAAGAACATTGTCGTTTGGGTCATCCATCTCTCTCCGTGCTAAAGAGTCTCCGTCCACAATTCCACAAGTCTGCGCATATCCTTTAGCAACAAGACCAGCTTTCAAACGGACAATTGACCCATCAAGATGAACTTTGATAGAAAACACCCATTTACAACTGATAGGTTTATTTCTTGCAAAAAAAGATACTAAATCCCAAGTATTATTGTCATCTAAGGTAGTCATCTCCTCCAACATAGCAGCCTGCCAACCAGGATGAGATAAAGCTTCGTGAACAGTTTTAAGAACAGATACAGACTTAAGGGATGCAATAAATGAACAAGTAGGTGAGGACAAATGGTTATATGAAACAAAAGAAGAAACAGGGTAAGTACACTTACGCTTACCTTTTCGAAGAACAATAGAAAGATCGTCACTCGTTCCTGGATCCACAGACGAAGAAGATGCTAGTATAGGGCATGAGACTAAAGGAGGTTGCCATCGAGAATAAACTTGAGTAATAGGTGGAAGAGAAGGATCAGACACAGAAATAGGGGGCATGTCAGTAGAAGTATAGAAAAAGGAATAGACAAGAAAGTCATATCTTCCTGTGAATGCTCCCCCTGACTGGTACTCAAGGATGATGAAAAAGGAGTATCTTCAAAGAATGTAACATCAGGAGAGACAAGATATCTATTGAGATCAGGACAATAACATCGATACCCTTTTTGAACACGAGAATAACCAAGGAAAATGCATTTTAATGACTTAGGGTCAAATTTGGTGAGCTAGAGCGAACATCCCGAACAAAACAGGTGCAACAAAATATTTTAGGTTTAATAGGAGATAAAGGTTATGTAGAACTAGGACATAGAATACGATAAGGTATTTCACCCTTAAGAATGGATGAAGGCATGCAATTAATCAAGAAGCAAGCCGTCGAAATAGCATCAGCCCAAAAGTATTTTGGAACATGCATTTGAAACATTAAGACCCTTACTGTTTGGAGAAGATGTCAATTTTTTCTTTCTGCAACTCCATTTTGAGACGAAGTATCAACACACGAGGATTGATGAATCATTACCAGTAATCACAATATCATCAACATATACAACTAGTAAGATAACACCAACTCAAATTGTTTATAGAAGACAAAATGGTCGGACTTACTCTTCTTCATTCCAAAGTCCTCAATCACCTGACTGAATTTTCCAAACCATGCTCGTGGACTTTGTTTCAACCTATATAAGGATTTGCGAAGACGACATATCTTTCCATTCTCCCCCTGAGCAACAAAACCTGGTGGTTGCTCCATATACACTTCTTCTTGAAGATCACCATGAAGGAAGACATTTTTAATATCAAGCTGATGTAAGGGCCAATGGTGAATGGATGCCAAGAGAATAAATAACCTGACAGAAGCCAATTTAGCAACTGGAGAAAAAGTATCAAAATAATCAATTCCATAAGTCTGCGTATCCTAGAGTCAATACACGAGCTAATGCACTTTTTGAATTAGTTCATTCTAATGTTTGTGGTCCACATAGAAACTAAGGTTTGAGAGAACCAGATAAGATTATTCTCAAGTCTATATATATATATAGACAAATATACAAGGTTAATCTAATCCTAGAAAGGAAAGGTAAAGGACTAATTAATACATATATTACAAGAGTATAAAATATACTAATATATATACTGTAACACTCCCCCTTAAGTTGGTGCATATATGTTAATCATGCTCAACTTGTTAGAGAGATAATCTATATGTGCTTCATTCAATGCTTCAGTGAAGATATCTCTTAACTACTCTCCAGCCTTCACATATCCTGTAGCCACCAATCCTTGCTGTACATTCTTACGTACATAATGACAATCAACTTCAATGTGTTTGGTTCGTTCATGAAATACTAGATTAGATGCAATATGAAGAGCTGCTTGATTATCACACCAAAGTTTCATTGGAGTGGTGANTACATAATGACAATCAACTTCAATGTGTTTGGTTCGTTCATGAAATACTAGATTAGATGCAATATGAAGAGCTGCTTGATTATCACACCAAAGTTTCATTGGAGTGGTGATGCCAAATCCCAATTCAGTCAAAAGCTGATATATCCATATAAATTCACATACCGACTGTGTCATAGTTCGATATTCTGATTCAGCACTTGAACGCAACACCACATTTTGTTTCTTACTTTTCCAAGAAACTAAATTACATCCAACAAATACATAATATCCTGAGGTTGATCTTCTATTTTCCTTAGAATCTGTCCAATCAGAATCTAAAAAACATTCAATATTAAGATGACCATGACCTTTATATAACAAACAACGTCCAGGAGCACCTTTCAAATAACATAGAATATGTTCCAATGCGGCCCAATGGTCAGTCGAAGGAGAACTCATAAACTGACTCATAATACTGACTGGATAAGCTATGTCTGGCCTCGTAACTGTGAGATAATTCAGCTTCCCTACTAACCTCTAATACTTCTCAGGATCTTTCAACAACTCCCCTCCCTCTGTAAGTTGTAAATCAGCTTTTGTTGGGGTACTACGTGGCTTGGTAGCTAACTTTCTTGTTTCAGTTAACAGGTCAAGTACATATTTTCTCTGTGATAATAGAATCTCCTTCTTGCTCCTCGTTACTTCAATTCCTAAGAAGTATTTCAACACTCCCAAATCCTTAGTATAGAATTGACTACAAAGAAAAGTTTTGAGTGATAGGATGCGTGATGAGTTACTGGAGATCTTATTTTGCCTCTTTCCTCAAGTTTTAGTTTAAATGATCTTTTGATGAATTGGAGGCTCTTTTGTAATTTTCCTACACGGTATCTTCCCTTTTTATATATTTCATCTTATCAATGAAATATTGTTTCCCATGAAAAAAGAAAAGGAAAAAAAAAAAAAAAAACTTTCACTTGTTTCAACCTGTGACAAATGGACTTTCCAAGACTAATTCCAGTATCTTTAGTAATGGTGCTATATACTGTTTGAACTTATAATAATGTTCTTCAACAGTGGTGGCCTGACCCAGTGCTAAGAATTTCTCACATAATGTCCCTTCTTAGGTGGTCCAAAATCTTTTAAAGAACAAGCAACAAAACTCCTCCAGGCTCTCTATCAATCTTTGGCCATTTGTGCATTGATGCCAAGAGAGGTTCTCCATTTAAACATAACACAACAACTTCCAAATTCTCAGCCCTCATTACGTGATTCACTACAAAGTATTGTTCCACTCTATGCAGCTACCTATCTAAATTCTTACCATTAAACCATTAAAGATGAGGATCTCTAGTTTTCTCAAACACATATTGATATCACTCAATTTTCTCCACTCTACATATCTCCACTATCTTTTCTCTAACTACCCTGATGAAGACCACTCCTTTTACTCTTCCCACGCTCCACCTTAGCTGTTTCTATTGTAATCAATCCCTCTTCTCCATGCCAAATATTTTCCAACTTCTTTACCACCAAGTATAGGTGGAATTCTTTTTTAATCTACCCCAACTCCTCATTCTTCTCTTCCAATACATTAAGTCTTGATTCCACCTTTTTATTAGCTATCATTCCAAAATACCACTTTTGACAGAATCCACTAAATTCAAAGAGTTTTAGAAAGTACAACCTTATGGAAATTTCAAGAGTCTCTGTCTCCCTACCTACTTCAAACTTACAACAGCCAGAAACGTACCTCTCACCTATATGAAAGTTTCCTATAATACTCTCTAGATGTGCTCTCCTAATCACAATTCACAACTAACTTAATAACAATGGGCCCCACAGGTACATCACATGACTTGCACAGAGAAAGTCCCCCAACACATTTCATACTATACACATTAATAATTGAGGTGGTCTATCACCTCCAGGGCAGGATATCAAGGAGGCAATAATTTTTTAAACAAAAGATCAAGATTTTTACAAGACTCAAGAGGGAGGTACTTTTTTTTTTTTTTTTTGCTACGCTATACCTGAGGGCACCCACACCCGCTCAAGGCCCGGAGCCGGAAGACATCTAATGATTTTTGTATTAAGTTCATCCGAAGGTTGAACCAAGAGAGAGGTAATTGATATGTGATATGTTCAAATGAAATCTAAGGCTTCCTTGTGTGCAGGAAGGGTGATGTTTGTAAAATCAATAACTATAGGCCTAGGGTTGTTCGCTAAATGTAGGAAAGGAGCTGATGGAGCTGTGGTTGCTAATCCCGATACGATGGTTTCAGAACTTGTAACACATGCATTACCTTCAAGACTGACTTTGAAAACATCTATGATCAAGAACATTGAACTTTCCTTAACAATATCCTTTAGAAGAAAAGATTTCGGGTAATGCAGGGCTTTAGGCAACTGTGTTCAAAAATTGCAAGTTGTTCGCTGCTTATGATGGGAGGCAAAGGAGAAAAGTCAGAGCTACTACAGAAACATTAGACAATGCTCGAAGGATCAACTATTAAAGATGAATAAAGTAAAACTGCAAAAAGTCCACAAATTCCTAAAATCAACTACAAAATCACATTGGAAAGACCTAATTCTTAAGGTCCATCGACCATCATAACTAAATAAGTTTTCATCTCCATGGTTCCGATCAATTGACTTATAGCCCTCCATATTTTCCTATTTAGTTCACTATTACTTCCATCTTCCTCCACACCTACGGGAAAAAGAGAACTTGTGCTTTAAGAGAGGTCAAATGAATGAAATGAACCAATATGTTCTTGTTTATGATTTCTTGAACATAATTTGATCATACTTTACTAAAATAAATGTTGCACTTGAGCAAGAAGCGCATGCTCATCAAGGTGAGGTCCCTGACCTAGTCTAGGAGCAAAACAGATGCATATTATTTAGGTTTACTAAACAATGTTTACATCAACATAATTTTTGTCATAATTTAACTTTTGTTTACACAAAATTTAAATAACTGCTGTCCTAATTTACATTTTTTTTACACGAAATTTAAATAACTTTTTTCCTAATTTAGATCAGCTTTAAATGTTTGATTTCCATGCAACATAAATAATAAAGACAGCATAAAAGTTTTCAAGAAAATGCAAAATATATCAAAAATCAGAACATGGTAGAAGACCTTTTAACACCAAAGAAAATAATATATACAAAAAAAAAAGGATAATTAAAAGCTTTACATAAAAAAATATTTCAGACCTGATAATTCCGGTGAACTTTTCCTTCACAGACTTTGGACCAACACACATAATATCAGCTGATGCCATTCTGGACATTACATTTGTAACCTACAATTAATGGAAAGAATAATAAGATATACTGGTTAAGACATTCATAGAATGATAATCCAATCATCAACCAAAACAGATACCAAGAGGGTGAAAAAAAAAATACTAGAAATAACTTAAGAGTCAAAGAAAAATCATAGTAAATAAAATTCAGTAGAGTTCTTTATTTGTGTGGAGTGGGGAGGTTGCAAGAAACAAAACTTTCAAGGCCATAGAGCCCTCCCAACTCAGGTCTAACTACCTCCAATTAACTTCAATCTAAAAACCACACTAACCGAAACGAGCAACCTTAAGAAGCAGTAGTAGACTACGGTAAACAATAGGAAAAGAATTCCAAAAACCAACCCTACATCAAATTCCTTTTGTACCTATGACTTATGACTTGACTAAGGAAGGGCTTAGCATATCAAAGATGCAAAATTACTTTCGCCAACAGGATTACCTTAGCAAAATTAAAAGAGGAGGATGAGGAAATGGAAAAAAGGAAGGAAGCAAGCCATAGCCTACAATTAGGCCCTACATCAGCAGGCGCTAGAGTGAAAGATCGGTGACATTTTAAATATCACACACAAACAGATAAAATAGGCTGTAAGCAACTTACTCGAGCAATGACGACAGATCCAGGAGCTGGAACAGCACCATGGGCCTTATGACCGGTCACTTCCACAGTTGGTCTCTAACAATACAAATCAGCCATAACATAATCAACATCAGCGGCCAGTTAGATATAAAATTTGAAGATACAGATTGGAAAGAACTAAATAACGAAAATAAAGTATCCTCTATAACGTGCTTATGTGACCAGTATTACTATTAAGTAGAGGTTACTATCTCATACAGCATCAACCATGCTTGAAAGAAAGAGGAAGGAAACCAAATAAACCGGTTCAAAACTCTTCCCAAAATGTCGTATTCACTGTAGTCTAAGAGAAAACAAGAGAAATATTTGCTTCTTGTCCTGACCCTAATATAATACAATAATTCCAAGATAATAATTTTTTCACCAAACACCACAACTACCCAAGGTAATACTTTTTTCAATCTCCCCATAGTTCAATCTTGTCTTTCTGGAGAAGTCTTAGTTAGTAGGCGTCAAAATAGAACCTATCTAACCAAGAAACTACTACATGATCCGAAGGAAATAACACAAGTGTTGTTACTCTCCCCCTCCACAATCTAAGTTCTCATCCTCCAAAGTTCACATCAAAATTCTTTCAAATTCCAAAAGAAACCTCATAGGGGGTGAACCCAAATCTCAAAAATCAAAAAGAAAGTGTGAACAGAAGTAAAAAGGGAGTACCGAGTCGGAAGAGTTGGGTGGAGGAGGAAGAATGCGGCGGAAACCAGAAAGAGAAGCATAAACAGTGTTATTGGCAACATAAGCTCCTTTCCCAGATTTCAAGTCCGAAGGCTTTCCGAGCACTTCTCCGGGAGTCACGAACTGCGTCTCCTCGGCCTCTTTCATTCTCCCGAGCTCCGTCCGTACAACCCTCACTCTGCCGTCTGCCTTTCACTAACTCAATTTCAAATCGGCGGCTCTTCTCCTGCTCCTTTCTGCACAAACAATTTTTATCCCAATGCGTCCGAATATATTTCAAATGTGTTCAACGAAACACTTGAAACCATTTTTTTTTTTTTGGGTAAAACATCTATAGGGCGAAGGAAATTGTAACTTTAGCATGTATTTTTTCGGAAATATCACATTTATACGGACAACATATTGCACGGACACTCAGTAGTATATCATAAAAAAAACTAAACGTGGTTGTTATTTTATTAAATATTTTTGACATATTTACAACCGTCCTTATTTTTTATTTGTAAAGATTGAGACATATTTGGTGGGTGGTCATAAAACAAAAATTTGTAAGCAATGATTCAATTAAAATGATTCTTTTTTCAAATATGTGTTTGTGATAGCAAATTTAAAAATTTAATTTCAAGTTAAAAAATTGTTCGATGTGTATTTATAAATATATTTGTAAACTAATCATATTTACCAACTAAATATTTAGTTTAACCTACGATAATATCAATTTAATTTATTAATGTTTTTGTTATAAAATTTGTATAATTATTATTTTACAATGTTATATAATCTATAATATATTATATTTTAAATATTTTAATTTCAACAAAGATAAAATAAGTTTGTACATTAAATAATATATATTTATCAAAGTTTTTTTAATATATTGTACATTTTAAAGTTTCAAATTCAAAATCTGAAAACACTAAAAATATAAAAAATATTGTTTTCAAAATTTTCAAGGTTTGCATCACATCATCCAAAAACAGTTTTAAAAAACAAATATGTCTAAAGCTGTCAAATGCATATTCATTGAATTCATTTCATTAGGTGAATCTGAAAATAGGAAACAAATTTGGACCGGCTCTTTTATTTTTGGGATTAGTACACAACAACTAGCCAATTTTAAGATTTAAATTACACAGCGAGCTTAATTTTTTAACAATTTACATTATTGTCTAAAGATTGACACATTATAGGTGGAACCATTAGGTAAATTACCTTTCTAATATATGTTAAATAAAGATTGAAAAAATCAAATCAAATATGGAATAAATTTAGAATGGGGGCGGTTTCTTAATTTTTGTTTTCAAATCCTTAAAATCCCTAAAATTTCTAATTTGAAAACTAAAATCCCTCAAAAACCATCACAACCACATAGAAGACTATAGTTTCATTGATTTTTTTTTTCCAAATCATAAAAATTGTGTTAGGGAGTTTATTAGATTTTAAATAGGTGACACAAGTATATATTATATAACCTAATATTTGAGTATGTACCACCAAAAGTTATATTATAACTTAAAATATCTGAGTATATACCACTAAAAGATATACATTATATAACCTTTTGAAGTATTATATATTTAGTGGTAGTTGGAATATATTCTTTTAACATAATAGTATATAACAATGGTATATATTATATAACTATTTAGAAGAGTATATGTCATACTATTGGAAAAAAAAAGCGTGAAAAAAAGAAGCAAAAAAATTCGGTGAGAGATTTTTTAAATTTTGATTACAAAAGGAAGGATTTTGTATTAATTGTGATATGAGAAAAATATGAAATTTTTAGGTAGGGTGGAAGATTTGAAATCCAAATATGAAAAAAAGTGATAAAAATCAAATCTAATCGTATAAATAAAAAATAAATTTAATAAAATAAAATGTCAATAATTGAAGACAATCTTCAGATTAATGAATATTTAAAATATGAGAATCTAAATGTGTAAAAATTTGAAAACTTAAAGCTATTTGAAATAAATGACAGACTTTCTCTTATTTTTAAGTAGGTAAATATTTAGTAAATATAATTTAAAAATGGTTAAAATTTTCATTAGGGTGAAGTATTAGTTTTTATTATATAAAGTGAAAAGGTCAAATTCTAAGCAAATATTTGGCTCCTAATCCTGTCCTCAATGCCATTAAAAAAATTGGCATCTCATTGTTTTTTAAAAAATGTATAAGTTTTTGCATTTCTATATTTTACTGGTCAAATAAAGGGTGGTGATAACAAGATTAGTTTAAAGAGCCAAGCATTTTATATGTTTTTCCTAAATTTTAAAATCCTTTAAATTGCACAACTTGGATAACTGTTAGCCATCTTCAGCTTAAACTAAAAATAAAATGTATTACAATTTTTACTCTAATAGGTTTTTGTTGGAAAATTTGTTGAAAAAGACATTTCATAGGTGTCAAATGAATTTTAAACATGTATTTATGAATTGATAGGATTAAATCAATAACAATGTTAGAGATTCTTTTTGTTGAAATTTATAAGTTTTGACGTTGTTAATGATGATTTTGTACATTAATCAACTTTTTTTTAGATAAAGTATATTAATCAAACTTAATTTTGTGCAAGACTTGATGTTCATTAAATTATTGATTTTCATAGTCTAGTGATTAATCGTCGCAAATTTGGAAATAAAGTATTAAATCCTTACTACTTCTTGTCAATCTAAGTATTAGCTCAACAGATTAAGGCACCTATCTTCGACCAAACAAGGATCATTAACAAAATCAAGTCTAGGGTTCAATTAAAAAAAATTACAAGTATAGAAACTAAAAAAAAACACAACAATAAAAGTTCAAGGGATCATTTTAAAGCACAGTGACTAAATAGATACAATGTAATAACTCGTATTTTCTAATAGAGCTACCTATCAATAATGCGTAAGGGTAAGTTTCAAAGAAACTTTAACAAAGTAAAAGTTTTTAGCGGAAGCAATTTCTTACATAAATTTTCTAAATCAACTTAACTAATTAGGAAAACGACTTTCAATCTCATGCTATAACGCTAAACTTGACCCTCTATCAGAATGGTCATTCAATCTTTCATCTGAAAATATTTTGAGTACAAAAATTCTCAACAAGCAATTTCCATATTAATTTTCGAAATTCATTTTGATGTAGCTTATAACCAAACTATTCTGTTAATCTAGTCGTTAGATCGCTTGTGGTTAAACAGTTAGTTAGTTAAATGGCTTCTTATTTAAATCCTTGGTTTTACACCAAATTCGTATCAGAGCCCTATTTGAAATTAGGACCTCATGGCAGGGAAAAATGCGGCGACTTCCGGTAGAGGACCCATGGTGGATACTTCAACAACTCAACCTCTGTCTCTAAAATCGACCATCAAATGCTTGCTGTTGGTGGATGATTCGTTGGGCGATGTACGTTCTAGTGTGCAAACAATTCACAGCCTCAGGGAAAATATTTCTAAGCACCTGGGGAACATCACGATCAAGCAAGAGCGACTGCGTGAAGACCTGTGTAATCACGGCGACCAGCTCAAACAAGAAAGGCTAAATCCACCAAGAAACTGGTCACCAACTCCAGTAATGGCCCGAAATGCAGATGGACGTGGTCGAAGAAATCAAAAACTTCAACTGAGAATTCAAGGTTCAGACCCTTCAGGTGAGGAAGATGATTTTTTTCACAGGAATCCTCATTTTGACCGATTTGATTTTCCGACAGAGGAGGTGTGCGAACTGATTATAAAATGAAGACGAATCTTCCAACCTTGAATGGGAAGATGAGAGTGGAGGCATTCTTGGACTGGATCAAGAATGTCGAGAATTTGTTTGATTACACCAACACACCAGAAGACAAAAATCTTAGATTGGTTGCCTTCGAGCTCCAGTCCGGTGTGTCGACTTGGTGGGATCAATTGGAGATTAACCGACAGTATCTGGGTAAGCATCCCATCCGGAACTAGCCTCGAATACTCCGACTGTTGCGGGAGTTTCTACCTTCCAATTTTGAGCAACTCCTCTACCAGCAATATCAATGTTGTCGCCAAGGGAATAAGTTTATTGCAAATTACACCAAAGAGTTCCATCGTTTGGGGGCATGTAATAATCTCTCAGAATTAGAAGATTACAAAATGGCCTATTTCTTGGATGGTTTGCGTGAAGAAATCCAAGACCAAATGGATACTCAGCTAATCGGATTGCTTACAGAGGCCATTTCCATGGCAACCAAGGTCGAGGAAAATCTTAATCATAAACGTGGTAGCACGACACAACGACGCTCGATCTGGGATAAAACTCAAGGTATTAAATTTTCTTCCTCTGATACTTCTTCTTCAACTAGCACTGGCAGTGCTTCTATTCTTCTGGCTCCAAACCAGTTAAGCCTACTGACACTACCATTCGAAAGGGTGCTGCTACGTATGCTCGACCAAATTTAGGAAAATGTTTCTGCTGTGGACAACAGGGACATTTATCCAATGAGTGTCCTCACCACTGTACACCGGCTATGATGGAGGAGGACGACTTGTCGAGTCTTGATGTAGATCCTATTTTGGATGAAGACAACACTTATTTAGAACCCGACGAATGAGACTTGGTTAATTGTGTCATCCAAAAGATTTTCTTGGCACCTAAGGTAGAGACACCTACTCAACGCCATGCTCTATTTCGCACACACTGCACTGTTAATGGAAAAATATGCAATGTAATAATAGACGGCGGCAATAGCGAAAATATGATGTCACAAAAGTTGGTTTTGGCTCTCAGTCTAAAAATGGATGCCCATCCTCAGCCTTATAAGGTTTCTTGGATTCGAAAAGGCGGTGAAACGCCTATCAATTCAATATGTACAGTCCCTTTAAGAATTGGGAATCATTATAAAGATCAAATTGTTTGTGACGTCTTGGATATGGATGCTTGTCATATCCATCTAGGATGCCCATGGCAATTTGATTTCCAAGCTATACATGAAGGGACATGAAAATACATAYGAATTTCATTGGATGGGGCGAAAAATTGTTTTACTACCATCTTCATTGGATCCTAAACTATGAAAGGAACCTTCAACATCGGCCAGCCAATTATTTACACTTATTAGTGGTAAATCCTTCTTGCAAAAGGATGATCCTATGGTGTTGGCTCTAGTAAATAAAGGGAATATGGCTTACCCATCTACACAGATTATTCACCCTGATGTCCAGCAATTGCTCTCTGAATTTTCTTCCCTTACCCAAGACCTTTCTGGATTGCCACCTTTAAGAAATATTTAACATTGCATAGACTTTGTACCGGGAGCCTCCTTACCTCATTTACCCCATTATAGAATGAGTCGAAATGAA